TGTTTTTCACCCTTGCCCAGATTCTGCTTTACTGCCCCTCACCCATTCACTTGTGGGCCTGAAAGCACAGTTCACATTTCCAGGTTTTATGAGGACTATGATGAACAGCTGGGGAGGAAATCCAAACCTCGAAGGATTCAAACTTTCTTGGGTGGGGAAATGCTAAGGATTGTTTAAGCCATCTGTTTCTCTGAAAGGTCTGGGAAAATCCGGCTGCCACATCTACCACCTGCGGATGACACCTCCAGAGCTGATTGAAATGACCCCACCTCCCTTGCAGCCATCCCTTTCTCATCTGCTTTCCTGTCCCAGCTCAGGGGTTTTCTTCCCCAGTACTCTCCCCACCACACCTGCTACTTCTCCTTACTTCACAGCTCTGCGTCTCCATTCCCATTGGGTCATCATTGAACATTTTATGTTCAATGTATTTTGTTTAAAACAACATTTCAAGCTAAGTTATAAAGGCAACTATAAAAGTTAGAGAATTGGATGAGGCTTTTGGAGTGAATTCACGGCTTCAGAGGAAGCAGGATGAAACTGTTTCTTAGAGTCACAGTGACCATCTTGGGATTGACAGAGGAACTGAGGTCCAGGGAAAGGTAGTAGCTGCCTTATTCACACAGGAATGAGCTGTGAAAATCTGGTCATCTGTCAGATTCTAAAAGAGTTTTTTTGTTCTGTGTTGCTTTTTGGTTTTGAGACTGGGAAACGTATTAAATTTTTTGTAAGAACATAGTGACTTTTAGCTAAGGGTGAAGCTGAAATCTGCTCTCAGAATGGGGAGACCTGAAATACATCTCCCTTAGGCCTGAGTGATGGGTTCCTTCCCTGCACCTCACGCTTCAGGGGCCCTGTGCCTTGGGGTATCTTCCTCAAAATTGCCTCTATTCCTCTCTAGTACCTAAAGCTGGTCAGGATCAACAGTGCCACTGGAGCAGAGAATCCCAGCTTGGACTGAGACCTGCATGATGAGTCTGCCACTCTGTACTCCTTTCCCCATTGCTAGAATCTGGTGTAATCTTCCTAACACCTTGGATGACTCCATGTGTGTAGGACCCACCAGCTGCCAGGTTCCCCCTGTCACCAACACACTGGTAGTCAGGGACAAGGGGCCACACCAGCAACCTTTAAGACAGTAATTGGAAACCAGTATTCAGGGGAGGCATAAAGGATGATGCAGCCTCACAATAATGTGACTAACTTTAATTACACAAGTAATTGTGTAATTAAATAATTACTTTATTACACAAGTAATAAAGTAACTAACTTTAATAAATGGCATTGGGAACTGCAGAAGCAAGCAGGTTCCATCAGCCAGGGTTCTTCAGAGAAACAGAACCAATAGGAGATTATCTGATTATCTACCTGTCTACTTATCTATCTATCTACCTATCTACCTATCTATCTATCTGTCAGTTAAGATCTATCTGGCTATCTACCTACCTACATACCAATAGGCCCAATCAAGTCTATTTTGTCAAGAAATAAGGCCACATTTTGTCAAACATTTAATGTGGCAGAGTCCGATGGGTCCAGACCCGAGAACCAGGCCTATTTAGTGAAAGACTGACGGCTCCCTGTGTGCTTAATGTGTGCAGGGACCCACCAGTGATGAAAACAACGTCTGCTGTACGGAGAGACAAGACACTGTGCTGAGCGCTTTTCAAATACTCCTCACAGCAACTGCAGGACACCAGAGGCAGAAATACTCTCATTTTACAGCTGACGTAGCTGAAGTTCAGAGAGGTTCAGTGATTTGCTTCCAACCTGTGAGACTGACTTTGAAGCTCAGCTTCTTAGCAACCACATGGTGTCAACTTTGTTTGCTGCTCTTTTCTGTAGCCCTAGGCCTATTGCAATACTTGGTGGTAGGAAATGTTAAATAACTTTTGTGTGAATCGAGTGTATAAATGAATGAATGAATCTATAGGATTTAGGTAGAAGGCAATAGAGGGTGTGTGAAATAGATTTTTTTTTTTTTTTTTTTTTTTTTGAGACGAAATCTCGCTCTTGTAGCTCAGTGGCGTGATCTTGGCTCACTGCAACTCTACTTCCTGGGTTGAAGTGATTCTCTTGCCCCAGCCTCCTGAGTATTATCGGTGCACATCCCCATACCTAGCTAATTTTTGTATTTTTACTACAGACGGGATTTCACCATGTTGGCCAGGCTGGTCTTAAACTCCTGACCTCAAGTGATCCACCTGCTTCCGTCTCCCAAAATTCCGGGATCACAGGTGTGAGCTGCCACGCCCAGGCTTGAAATAGATTTAATGAGTCAATCTCAGGTTAAGATTGGGTTAGGAGAGGAAGTGTCTTCCGCCAAACAGGTTCTGGGGATCAGCATGTGAGTAACCTGTTTTAGAAAAAGCTCAATCTTGTGTTGTATCATTAACCCGCTATGCAGCTTTGGGCCTGTATCTTCTTCTAAGGGATTCAGTCTCTTTTATGCAAGCTGTGGGTTTGGTCTAAGGATTAGCATTTTCTGTAAAAGTCCAGACAATGCATATTTTAGGCTTTGCAGTAAATATTTTAGGTCCCCATTGCCACTGTAGTGGAAAAATAGGCTTAGACAACACATAAATTAATGGATGTATGGCTATGTGCCAATAAAACTTTATAAAAACAGGTAACTAGGTGGATTTGGTCCAACGACTGTAGTTTGCTGATCAAGAAAACCGTTAAAGTCCTCTTTAGTCTTAATATTCTATGATGTAAAGATTTAGAACCAATAATTGTGTCAAGGATAAAAATGATTACATACCATTATCCTCCTATGAAAACCATGAAAGACATTGCTAATTGGGCACAGGGCTCTTTTCTGATAAGAAAGGAGTTGGCTTTAATCAATTAAGCAATCAATCAGATTTTTTTTTTTTTTTTTGAGATGGAGTCTCACTCTATCACCATGGCTGGAGTGCAATGGTACAATCTCAGCTCACTGCAACCTCAGCCTCCTGGGTTCAAGTGATTCTCCTGCCTCTGCCTCCTGAGTAGCTGGGATTACAGGCACACACTACCATGCCTGGCTGGTTTTTGTGTTTTTCGTGGAGATAGGGTTTCACCATGTTGGCCAGGCTGTTCTCTAACTCCTGAGCTGAAGTGATCCACCTGCCTTGCCCTACCAAAGTGCGAGGATTACAGGTGTGAGCCACCGTTCCCAGCCCCATTTCATTCTTTAAAAAACAAATATTTCAAAAACTCCAGATACTTTCTTAAGTGTGGCTCTGAGGAAAATAGGAACAAACAGAGAGAAAGAGAAGAACAGAAACTCCGTGAGAGGAATCAAATTGTCCCCTGGATGGTGGAGGTGAGATCAAAAATCTTGACCTGAGAATGTCATTACCACTGGTGGAAGTCATACCTTCCATTTCTCGCTTACCTGCCCTACTAAGTACTCCAACTAGGATTGAATGCACCTGGCTCATAGTAGTTACCCCATGCATATTAATTTCTTCCTTTTCTTTTTCCACCAAAATTTGATTGATGATTGATTGATTGATTATGTCCAGGTTTTCTGATCCACCAAAATTTAAACCATGGACTAACTTTTGCATAAAGGGATCTGCTGCCAGTTGACTGTCTGGCTGCAGAATACTTACATACTTCATGTGGGGCCAGTGCTATTTGATAATGAGTGGGTTTTTCATGTCTGTTGAAAGTTCCATGAACCTTCACATGGCAGAATTCCAAGCATGAAGGTAATGAGTCAAGAGCTTGGAGTCTGTAGCCAGATGAGTTTGGTTGAATTTATTTTATTTTATTTTATTTCTATAGGGTATTGTTCTGTCCCCTAGGCTGGAGTGCAGTGGCACAATCACAGCTCACCATGGCCTCAAACTCCTGACTTAAATCGATCCTCCTGGTTCAGCCTCCCAAGTAGCTGGGACTACAGGAATACGTCATCATGGATGGCTAATTTTTTAAATTTTTTTGTAGAGATGGGGTTTCAGTATGTTACCAAGGCTGGTCCCCAACTCCTAGTCTCAAGAAATCCACACACCTCAGCCTCCTGAGTAGCTGAGATTGCAAGTGTATGATGCTACACTCAGCTCTGGGCTGAATTTTAGAAATAATCACTCTCTTTATAATCAGAAGAAATCTATGAAGACTAGGTAGCATATAGAATGGGTTTAATTTTTTGCTATCCTGTGAGATCTGTAAGGGATTTTGAGAAATTTTAGAGAGCCATCCTCTAAGATCTCAAATTATCTCACAGCTAAATGTTGATTACAGTAACCGATGAGCTGCTTTCCCCCTTGATCTCAGATTCATTTCAGTTCTCTGAAGAATAAATGAATTGTATTTATTTATTTATTCATTTATTCTTTTCAGAGTCCCTTCATGTCTTTAATCTCATAACCCTCCGAGAAAGGCTGACCTGTTAGTATCATTTCATTTCATAGCGGGGAAAACTGAGCTCCGAAGAGATTTCCTGAGAGCAGAGCTCTTCTTCAGCTTTCATTGGTTGAGGGAGTGCTTCCCCTGTGTCAGGCACAGAACAGGCACTGGGGATATAACGGTGTAAATATTTCAGGGAACTAAATATTGCTTGGTTGAATGAGCTGAAGTTTTGAGAAAGAAACTGCATTGAGCAATCAGCAGAGTTTCACAATGCCTGAGAGTCCAGTAATGTGAGAATCAGAATTAGCAATGTTAGAATAGTATGTATTACACAAAGTCTCAGCTGAGAGTCTATATCTGGTTTCAGTTTGAGGTCCAGGTAGCACCTTTGCAATTGACCACGTCTTCCCCTCTCCAACTACAAGGCTAATGGCCTGGGGTCTCGAGATGTTTAGGGCTCAGTTGGACACTGAGATGGCCTTATCAGCCAACCTCCCAGGCCAACTTCTTCCCATTCTTTGCTGGTAGTTACTGTGTTGGCCTCATAGCCTTGCCAGGAATAGGAAAGATAAACCGTCTCCCTTCCTGCTTATGCAGTAATAGCTGGGAGGGGCCAAAAGAATTCTGGTGGGGCCACACCCACTGCACTGGTAAAAGAATAAATAGGTTTGGCATTGGCCATCAGAGTCACTCTGCCTTCACCATGAAGTCCAGCAGCCTCTTCCCCATCGTGGTGCTTCTTGCCCTGGGAACCCTGGCACCTTGGGCTGTGGAAGGCACTAGAAAGTGTAAGTTGGAGTCACTTTGGTCCAATCAGGGCTGCAGGGTCAGAGGCAGGGTCTCCTGGGAGGGTCGGTGTGTCCCCTTTTGTAGGCTCTGATCCCTCCGTTTACTTTCAGGAGACCTCCTTGAGGGTGGGTGGAATACATAGCTGGCTGAGCTCCAAGGTCTCTGCAAGGGTTTCTGAGCTTCTGGAAATGCTTCATTTCTGCAGCCATGCTGTCAGCCCAGGTCTCTCTCTCTCTCTCTCTCTCTGTCTTTCATACTCTGCATTCTTCTACTTCACCTACCTGTGACTATCAAATTATTCGTTTCTGACTCTGCTTCTTTTTGTCTCTGCTTCTGCTCTTTAGTCTCTGTGTTTCTGCCTGGGGCTTTAGCTCTCAACATCTCTCATGCTGGTTCTATTTATCTTTGTTTATCTCTCTTCATCTCCATCACTCTCAGCCTTCCTCTCTGCCTGTGTTTAGCCTTGTTCTGCTGTGGTGTGGGAGACCTTGACTGGAAGCCTTCTGCCCTTTTCCTGGGTCTGAAACATCCCCTGTCCATGTGGCTAATTTAATCATGCTCATTCAGTCACCTGGAGATCAGGCAAGCATATCCCTTTGGGCTTTGTGGATGGTCACTGAGGTAAAGGTCTCTCCTCCTCAAAAGTGGTGCTTTGTCCAGGGGTTATGATGGCTTCTCAGGGCCCAGCCTCCTTCTGATCTCTTGACTTTCTCTTCAAAAGCCTTCAAAGCTGGAGTCTGTCCTCCTAGGAAATCTGCCCAGTGCCTTAGATTCGAGAAAGCTGAGTGCCAGAGTGACTGGCAGTGTCCAGAGAAGAAGAGATGTTGTCCTGACGTTTGTGGCATAAAGTGCCTGGATCCCGTTGATACCCCAAACCCAAGTAAGCAGGTGGGGGAACTGGGTAGAGAGGAGGGAGCCTGGGGAGACGGCATTAGTGGGATGGGACTGGGTGATGGGTCCTGCCAGACCTCTTTGTCAATCACTCAGTGAATCATACTGCACTAAGCAGGAAGTTAGCCGGCAGCTGGTGAAGCAGCAGGCTGTCAGGAGGTCAGCCTTCCAGATAGCCATCTGGGCATTTAGATAACCAGGCAGTTGGAAGCCTCCCACGTAGTGAGCACTGGACGGCTGGCCACTTGCATCAACGGGGGCCTGATGTTCCAGGGGAGCCAGGTGCCTTAGGGAGAAGGTGCTAATGATAGAAGTGGGGAGGGGATGATTCCCCGCCCTCACCCCGGTTAACTCTGCTCAGGCTGGAGCAGGAGCTCACTCTAAGAAGTGGAGGTGGGAGGGGTTGTGTAAAGTACAAGGCCTCTGACCGGCAGCTTCACTCTCACCCAGGAAAGAGAAAGGCTGGGAAGTGTCCAGCGGTTTATGGCCAATGTATGATGATTAACCCCCCCAATCACTGTGAGTCGGATGGCCAGTGCGAGCGTGACTTGAAGTGCTGCATGGGCATGTGTGGGAAAACCTGTGTTTCACCTTTGAAAGGTAAGCAGGGGGCTAGGGCACACTGAGCTCCCTCCCTCCAGCCCTCTCAGCCTCAACCCTCTGGGGCCCCAGGCATATGAGCGGGGGGAGTCCTGACCCACGACTCCAAGCAGAGCCTCTGTCTGACTCCTTTGCCCGTCAAGAGAACTGTTCTCCAGGTCTCAGGGCCAGGTTTTCTATAGAATCACCTGTGGCTTTGATTCTATTCTAGTGACTCTGGGTGGGGGTCCTGGGGAAGTGACTTTCTGAGTCTCAGTTTCTTTACTGGTAAAATAGACATAAAGAAATTGAAAGTGATTTGCTAAGCACTATATGCACTACAAATTTATTATTCAGGTTATTCCCATCTTGTTTTCTGAGGTTAAATTCCGAAGGATCAGTGGAATTTGAGGATTATCCAGTTCAATACTTTAGTATTACGGTGAAAACAAGACTTGTCTCTTTCAACTATAGCACCATCTTCTTATTTTGTCTGTCTCAGGAGGATCCTTGGGCAGGAGGAAGGATGTGGATATGATTTGGCTGGTTTCTATGCTGCAACTCTTATCTGATTTTCTCTCACAGCTTGATTCCTGACATTTGGAAGAGGCTCTGGAGTCCTGCTTGGTGTGGTCTGGGAATTCCTTTTCCACCCCCAGGCTTGGATGGCTGGGCACTTGAGAATTTGGTGCCACCACTGATATCCTCCTTTGGGGAAAGGCTTGACACACAGCAAGCTTTCAAGAAGTGCCAGTTGATCAAGGAATAAATAAACAAGCCTATTTCTCTTTGTACATCCTGCTTCTGTGATTCATTGGGGTGTATGAGTGGGGTGGGAGGCTACGAGGGAAGGTCTGGATATGAGGCCTCCCTCGCCCTATGGATATGTAGTGGGTGGAAGAGGCTTAGGGACTAGGGGAACTTGAATTTATACCATGAGTCTGAAAGTGCTGGCTCTGTAATTTTGGACAAGTGATTTTATTTTCTAAATTTCAATTCTTTTGTCTGTGAAGTGGCAGTAAAAGTCAGCTTCTCATAGCATTTGGAGCACTGGAAAATGCGCCGTGTGTGTAATAAATAGCAATGTTACTAGGCCACAGCATCTTGTCAAAAAATTGGGGCTCCTTGTTGCATACTGGAGTGATTCTGAGTCTCTTTCATTTCCTCTCTCTCCCAAGGCACTATTTTTTTCTGTTTTAAGATAACAACATTGCCATAATGGATAACATTTAGGACACACTATTGGCCATATCATGCGAGGGTAGTGGTGACCTTGACTCCATGGAGCAGGAGTAGCAGGAACCAGGACTGCTAAGAGCTAGGGAGCAGGCAGAGGGCCTTGCTCCACATTGCTCTGCCCTGTGGACTCCAGAGGAAAGAGACAACTTGATTAGATAAGATTTTTAAAAATATTGTAATTCAATTATTTCCTGGAAGAAGTCATTACACTAAAAAAAAAAAAAAAAAAAAATCTTCCTTACTGCTTTCGACCACTGCTCTAAGAGCAGCAATGGAACGTATTAACTTAACAATTCAATGAAGAGGAAAAACAGGGAGAGCCAATTTATTCATTTGATGAGTGTGGCAGTCACCCTCCACACTGGCCCCCAGTGAGCTCGCCTCTTGGTATACACACCTTTGTGTAGCCCCCTCCTGCATTTTTCCATGGGTAGTCTGTGTGAGAGTTAGTTATGTCCTCACGAAGTTAGATGATAAAATGTTTCAGGGACATTCTCTCTCTCCTCAATCACTTACTCTGGGGACATTCTGTTGCCAGGTCATGAGGACACTCATACCATCTGTTCAGCAGCCCACAGGGTGAAATCCAACACCTCTGGCTAAGAGCCCATGAGGAATGGAGGCCTACTCACAAACACATGAGTGACTGAGGAGTGCATTTTTCAGTCTTGTTCTAGTCTTGTTTTGTTTTGTTTTGTTTTTCTGAGACAGAGTCTCTGTCGCCCAGGCTGGAGTGCAGTGGTAGGATCATGGCTCTCTGCAGCCTTGAATTCCTGGACTAAGGTGGTCCTCCTGCCTTTGTTTCCTGAGTAGCTGGACTACAAGTGCACATCACCACATCCAGCTAATTTTTTAAAAACTTTGTAGAGACAGGGTCTTGCCATGTGGGCCAGGCTGGTCTTCAACTCCTGGGCTCAAGTAATCCTCCTGCCTTGGCCTCCCAAAGTGTTGGGATTACAGGCATGAGTCACTGCACCTGGCCCCTCTAGTCTTGAAAAGACTGCATTCCTAGCAGACAGCTTGACTATAACCTCACAAGGGCCCTGAATCACAACTACCCAGCTAAGCTGCTCTTGGATTCCTGACCCTCAAACTCTAAGTTGATGTTAATGGTTTTAAGATGCTAAAGTTTGGGGAAAGTTTAGTAATACAATGAATTTATCAAAAATTTGATACTACAACCAAATATGAACAGTAAAAGAAAAGATAATTGTGAGCCAATGTCTTCTATACATGTAGGTGTAAAGATCCCAAGTAAAATGCTAAAAATTAGAATTCATCATGTTTTAAAAGCTTTCATAAAGTTCAATATGAATGTGAATTTTTAATTAAAATTAAAAATAGAAATGAATCCAGAAAAGGAAACCTACCTGAAATTCTATAGCAAAATCTACATTAAGTTAATTTATCAGAGGAATTGTCACTGAAGTCAGATAATAAAGATCATCACTATTTTCAACAATGTATGAAATATATAAATCTGTGCAATTGGATGAGATAAAGGAACAGGTATACAAGATTGGGAAGAAAGATACAAAATGGTCATTGTTTGCAGACAGTATCATTTCCTGTATAACAATTTGAGACATTCAATAAGACTGATAAAATAAGATTTACCAAAGTTGCTGGGTATAAGGCCTGCACAAAATTCTATAGCATTTCTACATATTGTTTATAACCAATCAGAAATAATAGAAGTAGACATAAATGATCAAAGAAACAAATGCTACAAAATACCTAGGAATAAGCCCTGAAATTGTGCCAGACCTTCATGGATTAAAAAAAAAGTTTTAGAAATAAAGGTCTAAAATATGAACTCAGTAGTTAAAAAAACAATGTTTATGTTTGGGAAGACTTAATAAGGTAAAGATAATAATTTCTTTAAAATTATTTCTAAATCCAATGTGATTACAATAAAAAACCTAATACAATTTTTGAGAAGAACTTGACAAAGTGATCCTACAGTTGATGTATTAGTATAAAGGTTACAGTAGAGCCAGTAAAATTTTTTAAAAGTACAAGAATGGAGGGTAGCTAGTTTAGGTATCAAAATGATATAATGATTAGTGTAGTATGATGTTGGTACATGAATAAACAAATAGTCCAGTGGAATAGAATACCTACCTACAAGGATATCCTGAGAGTGATACTGTATGAAAAAAAAAAGGATATTTACAAGGAAACCTATACATTTGTGGACATTTATTATATGAAAGGGAGGAATTTTTACAGCTGGGTAGAGCAAAGCTCAAACTAGTAATGAAAGCAATTGACTTTTTTTTTTCTTTTAAAGTTCAAACTGTAACTTTTATGGAGTTTAACAACAATATCAAATGTAGTTGTTTGATTCCTGTTTATTCTTTTTTTTTTTTTTTTTTGAGACGGAGTTTCACTCTTGTTACCCAGGCTGGAGTGCAATGGCGCGATCTCGGCTCATCGCAACCTCCGCCTTCGGGGTTCAGGCAATTCTCCTGCCTCAGCCTCCTGAGTAGCTGGGATTACAGGCATGCGCCACTATGCCCAGCTAATTTTTTGCACCTTTAGTAGAGACGGGGTTTCACCATGTTGACCAGGATGGTCTTGATCTCTTGACCTCGTGATCCACCTGCCTCGGCCTCCCAAAGTGCTGGGATTATAGGCTTGAGCCACCGCGCCCGGCCGATTCCTGTTTATTCTTTTCAGCCAGTACATTTAAAAAATTTTTAAATTTTTTTGTTTTTGATTGATAAATTATAAGTGTATATATGTATGGGGCACAATGTGGAATGATTAAATAAAGCTAATAAACATATCCATTACCTCACATGCTTACTTTTTGTGCTAAAAACACTAGAAATTTACTCTCTTTACAGCTTTGAAATGGATAACACATTATTGTAATCTACAGTCACTATGCTGTGCAACAGATTTCAAAAACCTATTCAGAGTGGTATAGCCAATCTGAAAATAATTTGGCAGTTTCTTATGTTTGTATACTTGCCATGCTACCTAGCAATTCCACTCCTAGAAACTTATCCAAGAGAAATATAAACCATATCCACACAAAAACCTGTGCCTGCATACTTATAGCAGTTTTATTCACAATTGCCAAAAACTGGGAGCACCCCAAATATTTTTCCACTAGGGGATGTGTAAACAAGCTGTGGAGTACATTTAGCAGCAGAAAGGAACAAACTGCTGATGACGCAGATGAATCTTAAATACATCATGCTAAGTGAAAGAAGACAGACTCAAAAGACTAAATATCATTTGATTCCATTTATATGACACCTGCCAGAAGGCAAAAGTACAGGCACAGAAAGCACATCAGTGGTTGCCAAAGAGTGCGAATGGAGGAAGGTATTAGCTAGAACGGGTGCACGAGAATTTTGAAGGTGATGGAACTATTTTGATTGTGTGGTGGTTATGGCTGCATTTGTTTGTCAAAATTCATAGGACTGTGTAAATTAGGTAAATTTTACAATTAACAAGATAGACACAGTTCTTCCCCTTTAGGATCTTATATTGTCACGGAGACATCCCCCAGTAAACTGGCATTGACGATCCTCAGTGACCACCATTAAGAAAGTGGAAAGTGCAGGGGGTGATGGGGAGCAGATGAGGGGCTCCCAAATCAGAGACAGAGAGGTGGAGTAAAAGTTGTGTGGTGCCTACGCTAGGGAGGGCACCAGTCAGATGCATGGCCTAGAATGTCAGAGTCTGACAGCCACACAGCAGCCACATGAAGGTTTGGGCAGCCTTACTGCAGGAGCTGCACCCAACTCAGGCTTAATTGCTTAGCCTGATGGCTGGGCAAGGTGATCCATGCCTGTAATCCCGGCTTGCGGGAGAGGGAAGCTGAGGCGGGTGAATTGCTTGAGCCCAGGACTTCACAATCAGCCTGGGCAACATGATGAAACCCTGCCTCTACCAAAAATACAAAAATTAGCTGGGTGTCGTGGTACAAGTCTGTAGTCCCAGCTGCTTGGGAGGCTGAGTGGGGAGGATTGCTTGAGCCTGGGAGGTTGAGGCTGCGGTGACCCATGTTCGTGCCAATGCACTCCAGCCTGAGAGACAGAGCGAGACCCTGCCTCAAAAAAAAAAATAAATAAATAGAGCTTAGTGTAAGAGCTTGAGTTCATGGGATCAGAGGGGGCCAGCTGCCCCCAGGGGATGGAGGTACTGAGGATGTATCTGTTAATTATCAATGGCCAATGGTTTAATCAGTCATGCTTACATAATGAAACCTCCATAAAAACTTAAGAGGGCAGGGTTCAGAGGACTTCTGGATAGCTGAATACATAGAGGTTCCTGGAGGGTGGCTCACCCAGGGCAGGGGCATGAAAGCTCTGTGCACCTTCCTGCATATCTCACCCTATGCATCTCTTCACCTGTATCCTTTGCAATGTCCTTTATAGTAAGCCACAAAGCATAAATGTTCCCTTGAGTTCTGTGAGATGCTCCAGCAAATTAATTGAATCCAAAGAGGGAGTCCTGGGAACGTGTACTTGAAGCCAGTTGGTCAGAAGTTCCAGAGGTCTGGACTTGTGCCTGGGGTAGGAGGGAGTGGTCTTGT